GTAAGATTCAATTATTTTTAAATCCACAAACTGATAAGGTTTGCAGTGTAAATAATATTTAGAGTACTTCATTTTGAAAAGAAGAGAAGGGGTGGGGCTATGTGCTAGATTTAGGGGTTTAAACTTTAATTCATAATCGAAAGCCTGTAAAGGAAGTAAAGTCTGCTTGCAAAAGTATGCGCAGGAGGATAAAACGTACGCTCAACTAGGACCTCGGGTCACCCACAAATAGTTCGTCATTTGCGTAGTAATAATATGAACTCTTCAGGCATTAAAGGCACAAAAGTAAATTCATCTGTATCAATATGGTGACCTCAGGTCACCCTATATTTTGATTGAATTTTATTTAAAAAAAACCAGTTTTCTCTGTCTTACTCCAATACAATTATATTAATAACTTTATATAGATCTTTCTAATAGATTAACAGAGACGTGAAGGTATGGTTTTAAACATTAAAACATGACAACAAGTTGATGTCATAATTAAGGCTCGGTGTCGGACGTCCCCCCCCCCCCTTTCACAAATGTTTCACTGGTTAACTTTATCAAACAATACATGTATTATTATCAGCAGTTTGAGAACCAATGTCTTTGTTAATGTTTTAAAAATTACACACAGGGAAATTGAGACTTTTTCTTCATTCGTTCGGTCATAGACCTAAAGTATTCAATTTAGGTCAATGGTTCAGTATTATCATCAGTCATCTACGATACTTAACTCTGCTTAACTAAAAGACAACGAAAAAAAATAAAGTCAAAAAGAATGAAAATATTTCTTTCACTCTATGATTTATCCTATCTTACATCTGTTCCTATAGAAAAAGGAAAAAGGAAAATCCACAGACTTTAAGAACTTTAAATGAGAATAAAATTAAGTCCAAAAGTTTTAATATCCTGAATTTGTTTTCAAATTAACTGATTTTCAACTACAAATTCAAATAAAAAGGTTGAGATACCAAACAGAGATTGATCTCAAAAATCCTATTAACAAAGGAATTTGAAAACAGAGTATAAAACACAGATTCCTAAATTCCTGAGATAGGATCAGATACATGGGAGGGATCATCCCTGGTCACATCAAATTTATTGTCACAAGCCTGCTTTGAGCAATATCTTGCATATGGAATGATAAAATAATGTGTCATATCAATGCAGAGACCGGAGGTCATCAGGCATTGTAAATCAATAAGGAGACAAGAGTGTGCAAAACAGTCACCAGATACCACCAATGTGGAGACTAGTGGTAAACTAATGTTTCATATCAAAACGGACACTAGAGGTCACCGTATATTGTACATCAATAGGGAGACCAGAGGTCACCTTCTATTGCACATCAAAACGGAGACCAGAGGCCACCTTATATTGTACATCAATAGAGAGACCAGAGGTCCCCTTTTATAGTACATCAATAGGGAGACCAGTGGTAACCTTATATTATAAATAATTAGGGAGACCAGAGGTCACCTTCTATTGCACATCAAAACGGAGACCAGAGGCCATCTTATATTGTACATCAATACGGAAACAATAAGACACCTTATATTGTACATAATTAGGGAGACTCAGGGGTTACCTTATAATGTACATCAATACAGAGATCAAAGGACTCCTTATATTGTACATCAATAGGGAGACCAGTATTCAACTTATAGTTTACATTAGTAGGGAGACCAGAGATCACCAGTTATTGTATATCAATAGGGAGACCAGGGGTCACCTTATATTGTACATAATTAGGGAGACCAAAGATCACCTTATATTGTAGATGGTACATCAATAGGGAGACCAGAGGTCACCTTATATTATACATCTATACATCAATAGGGAGACCAGAGGTAACTTTTTATGTACATCAATAAGGAGAAAAGGACACCTTTTATTTTGTACAGAATTAGGGAGACTAGTGGTCACTTATTTTATACATCAATAGGGAAACCAGAGGTAACTCATTTTGAACAACAAAAGGGAGACCAGTGGTCACCTTATATTTTACATAATTAGGGAGACCACAGATCACCTTATATTGTATATCAATAGGGAGACCAGAGGTCACCTTATATTGTACATCAATAGGGAGACCAGAGGTCACCTTATATTGTATATCAATAGGGTGACCAGAGGTCACTTATTTTGTACATCAATATAGAGACCATAGGCCACCTTATATTGTAATTAATAGGGAGACCAAAGGTTACCTTATATTGTTCATCAATTGGAAGATCAGGGGTCACCGTATATTGTACATAATAAGGGAGACCAGAGGACAACCTATATTGTACATAATAAGAGAGACCAGAGGTCACCTTATATTGTACATCAATAGGGAGACAAGAGGTCACCTTATATTGTATATCAAGAGGGAGACAAGAGGTCACCTTATTATATACATCAATAGGGAGACTAGAGTTCACCTATTGTACATCAATAGGGAGACAAGAGGTCACTTATTTTGTACATCAATAGGGAGACTAGAGGTCACCTTATATTGTACATAAATACGGAGACCAGAGGACACCTTATATTGTAAAGAATTAGGGAGACCAGAGGTAACTTATTTTGTACATCGATAGGGAGACCAGAGGTCACCTTATACTGTACATTAATAGGGAGACCAGAGGACACTGTATATTGTACATAATTAGGGAGACCAGAGGTAACTTATTTTGTACATCAATAGGGAGACCAGAGGTCACCTTATATTGTACATAAGTAGGGGGACCAGAGGTCACCTTATATTGTACATTAATAGGGAGACCAGAGGACACTGTATATTGTACATAATTAGGGAGACCAGAGGTCAACTTATATTGTACATCAATAGGGAGACCAGTGGACACCTTATTTTGTACATAATTAGGGAGACCAGAGATCACCTAATATTGTATATTGTACATGAATAGGGAGACCAGAGATTACTTTATATAGAACATCTTGTTTCCCTATTAATGTACTTTATAAGTTGATCTCTGGTCTCCATAATGATATCTCTCAGTTGATGCAATACGGAAGAGCATGTTCTACGTATGAACAATTTTTAAAACGAGAAAAGTTATTGACAAAGAAGTTGATTAAGCAAGAATATCAGTAGTCTCATTTAAAGTTATCATTTCATAAGTTCTATGGTCGATACAATGACCTTGCTGGCAATTAAGTCAAATGCTGACTGACTTTTTTTCAAACTGATTGTTAGCCCATTATTCACACACTGAGTTGTCCACGAATTTTTCCGTTTTTTCCCGAATATGATAAGGAGCACACGGCGGGTTTGACCAGTCGGCATGGGATGCTCACTCCTCCATGGCACCTGATCCCACCTCTGATATTTAGGAGGTCCGTGTTTGCTCCGCTCCTATTTTGTAATGTTTAATGGACTTTTGAGCTCGAATACTGTTCATTATCTCTACATATTTCATAATCTGTATTTGTGTTATGATATAAAAGAACTCTTGCAATCTTTGTTTATGTAAGATATGAGAAATTATGGAGTGAAAGAAGTAATTTTTTCTTCACATGATTAAATGTTCAGAAGCTTATTTCCAATATTATTGCCTTTATTTTGTTTTTGAGTTGTCTTTTAGTTAAACAGAGTCTAGTATCGTAGAAGCCTGATCTCTGCATCCATATAAACTTTTTGTGATATCTGGTCTCCCTATAACACTGTGATGTACAATATATGGAAACCTCTGGTCTCCGTATTCATTCACAACTTTACGTGACCTCTGCATTGTCTCCCTAATTATGTTTTATATAAGAGGACCTCTGGTCTTGGCATTTGTATAAACTCTATGTCACCTCTGGTCTCTCTAATGATCAACATAAGGTAACCTCTGGTCTCCACAATGAAGTACAACATAAGCCTACTGATATACAACATAAGGTGACCTCTGGTCTCCCCATTGATGTACAATATTAGGTGACCCCTGGTCTCCCTATTGATGTATAATATTAGGTGACCTCTCGTCTCCTTATTGATGTACAATTTAAAGTGACCTTTGGAATCCTTTATGATGTTCACTATAAGGTGTCCTCTGGTCTCCGTATTTATGTACAATCTAAGGTGACCTCTAGTCTCCCTATTGATGTACAATATAAGGTGACCCCTGGTCTCCCTATTGATGTACAATATTAGGTGACCTTTGATTTCCCTATTAATGTAAAATATAAGGTGACTTCTGGTCTCCCAAGGATGTACAACATAAGGGGACCTCTGGTCACCCTAATGAAGTACACCATATGGGGACCTCTGGTCTCCATATTCATATTATACACAGCCTTATGTGATCAGTGGTCTGCAAATGATGAACACTATAGGCTGTCCTCTGGTCTTCATATTCATACACAACTTTATGTGACCTCTGGTCTCTGAATAATGTACAATATAATGTGACTTCTTGTCTCCCTACTAATGTACAATATAAGGTGACTTCTGGTCTCCCTATTATTGTAAAGTAGAAGATGTCCTCTGGTTTCCATATTGATGTACAATATAAGGTGTCCGCTGGTCTCCCAACTAATGATGATATAAGGGGACCTTTGGTCTCCCTATTGATGTACAATATAAGTGATCTCTGGTTTCCCTATTGATGTACAATATAAGGTGTCTTCTGGTCTCCCTACTGATGTAGGATATAAGGGGACCTACTAATGTACAATATAAGGTGACCTCCGGTCTCCCTATTGATGTCAAATATAAGGTGTCCTCTGGTTTCCCTACTGATGTACAATATAAGGTGTCCTCTGGTCTCCCTACTGATGTACAATATAATGTGTCCTCTGGTCTCCCTACTGATGTAGGATATAAGGGGACCTTTGGTCTCTCTATTGATGTACAATATAAGTGATCTCTGGTTTCCCTATTGATGTACAATATAAGGTGTCTTCTGGTCTCCCTACTGATGTAGGATATATGGGGAACTCTGGTCTCCCTAATGATGTACAATATATGGTTTCCTCTGGTCTCCCTAGAGATGTACAATATAAGGGGATCTCTGGTCTCCCTA